ACCCCGTGCGAAAGCATTGGCGTTGGCTTCCAGCTCAGCGGGCTGGTGGCCGCCTCGCAGGAATCCTCCCGAGCGGGAGTAGAGGCCTGTGGTGGTGGTGGTTTCGGATGAGACGTGAGGTCCGGGGAGATGGGCTTTTCTAGTGCCGCGCAGCCGGCCAGGGGCAGAGCTGGGTGCTGCGGCGAGGCTCCCTGATCCCGCATCCGTGCGTTTTCCATGCATGCACCGCCCTCCCCTTTGGTATTTGTCGTGGCCTCCAGGTGTCCATCCTCGCTGCTTCAACAGGTCACTGCCTTCGCATCCCTTTCTCTATTTGCTTCCTAACGCTCAAGCTCTTTACTGTTAGAATCTTTCCATTACCCCCTGTCCCATTGCCCCTCCCCGCCCCCCACTCCTGGGCAAAGAAAAGGAAGGGCAGTGTGATTAGCAGAAGGAAGCCTTCGCTTTGAAGAAGTCACCGTGTGCAGAGTATTTCGCATTTATTGTTTCCTCTCCGTCTGGAGGAAGCGCGTTCCCATATCCCCAGCATCCTTCCGCCCCTTCCCTCCTCTGCATGCGACATGTTTACCGTGTTTACCGAGCGCCTGCTGGGCTGCGGGAGTCCAGCTGCAAGCGCGGTCCTCAAGGGATGCGCACTGCGCAGCAGCAGCAGCAGGCGGGGAATGGTGCCTCTGTTGCCGGAGATGGTGCAGATGAATTAATCTATGGAGCTTGGCGACTAGTAAACAACATGTGACTGTTTTGTATCCTTATAGCACCTGTCACGTTGCTTTGTCATTTCTTTGTCTGATACTCCATCCAGGCTCTGGACCAGCAGTGTTCAGCTGGTTCTTGCAGGAATTTTGAAAACACGCAATACCTGGCTGTTAGGCAGGGACAGGGACCCCTTTCCCTTAGGTTGTCAAACAAAAAAATGGCAGCAGCCAACACGATACTGGCCTCCAGTGGAGGGAATCAAACGGTAAATGCTTCTTTGTGTCAGCCGGACAGACAGTGTGCCACGGAGTTGTAGGAATGAGTTTACCCCGGGAGATGAAAGAGGGTGGCAGTCACTGCTCTGGACTGAGGTTCCAGTGGCCTGTGTGTCTGCATGTCCCGGAGTGGGAGCATCTCGTTCAGAACGAGGCGGCGGGAGGGTGGCTGCTCTCAGGTGCCTGGAACGGCCGTGCAGGAAGTGCGTGTGGGCTTCTGGCTGTCAGGAGGCCGTGGAGGAGCTGGTTATGTCGCCGGGAAGCGTTCTGGGGACAGGACAGAGCTGGCGTGGTGTCATGTCTTGACTCCTGTTCGTTGAGGGTGGGGACACATGGGCGTGTGGGGCCAGCAGCAGAGGAGGCGTCCCCTTGGCCCAAGGTCCCTTCGTCACCCCAGTCCCCTGCCCGCCGTCTCCGCAGTCTCCAATGAGGTGCCGGAGCACCCGTGCGTGTCCCCCGTCTCCAACCACATCTACGAGCGGCGGCTCATTGAGAAGTACATCGCCGAGAACGGCACCGACCCCATCAACAACCAGCCTCTGTCCGAGGAGCAGCTGGTGGACATCAAAGGTACCTGGAGGCCGCCCCGTCTGTCCCAGCGCAGCGCGTGGTGGGGAGCGTGCGCGGGAGGAGCCGCAGCTGAGGGGGGAGAGGAGGGAGAGGAAGGGTCCCCCGGGGGGTGGTTCTCATGCCGCTCCCCGTCTCTCGGCAGTGGCTCACCCAATCCGGCCCAAGCCTCCCTCAGCCACGAGCATCCCAGCCATTCTGAAAGCCCTCCAGGATGAGTGGGTGAGTCCCTGGGGGAGAACCGGTGCTCCCGCTGGACGTCCTCACTGGACGGGGCCTGGGGGGGAGGATGGAGCACTGTTTTCTCATTCACGGGCAGGATGGTCGTGGAGGGGCCTGGTGCTGACATCCCACAGATCTGGGTCCCACCTGAGCTCCGCGCTCACAGGCCGTGTGAGTCGCTGGCATTCATGCTCTAGTGTTCCTCCCCGTACAGCGTGGTCAGTGCCGCTCAGGGCGTGGGGAGAATTAGGGTCTAAATTCATGTCTTCAGGGGCTTGTTTCATCTGTCGGTGCATCTGCAGCACCAGGAGCTGGGCCAGCACGTGGTAGGTGCTCTCAAATGTGAGCGAAGGCACGGGTGTGCCTGACGCGGTGCCTGGCGCTGAGGGCGGCCAGTGCGTAGCATTCTCGGTCCCTCTCGGGGAGGAGGTTTGCCGGTGAGGTCGAGGCGAGGGCTGGGGAGAGTGGCTCCCGCTCCTGTGGGTGCCCAGGTCGGGCAGGCCCGGGCGCTGGGTGGCTGCGGCGCGTTCGGGGCCACGCGCATAGTGCTCAGGTCACCGAGGCCGTGTCCTCTCACCACGGCCGACCCTTCTGCTGGGTGCTCCCAGCTCCTCGCTGCCCCTCACGCGTGGTTGCCCCCAGGACGCGGTCATGCTGCACAGCTTCACTCTGCGCCAGCAGCTGCAGACGACCCGCCAGGAGCTGTCCCACGCGCTGTACCAGCACGATGCCGCCTGCCGGGTGATTGCCCGTCTCACCAAGGAAGTCACCGCTGCCCGAGAAGGTACAGCCTCCACCCCACCCCACGCTGGGCTGGCCTCGCTTCCTCACGCCCGTTCCTAACGCCGTCTTCTCTCTCAGCTCTGGCTACGCTGAAACCGCAGGCTGGCCTCATTGTGCCGCAGGCTGTGCCAAGCTCTCAGCCCAGTGTTGTGGTGAGTGCCGTCGGCCCCGCCCCCCCGCCGCTGCCCTTTCCTGCACGCGCCTGGCACCCCAGGCCTCCCTCACCTTCACGTCTTCCCTGCAGGGAGCAGGCGAGCCGATGGAGCTGGGCGAGCTGGTGGGAATGACGCCCGAGATTATCCAGAAGGTAGGTGCGCTCGGGTGGGGAGCGGGGGCCTCGCTTCTCCCTGGAGGCCGGTATGAATAGGACCAGGCTGTTAGGCAGTGGGTCGTGCCGAGCACAGACGCGGCGGCGCAGACGGCCCGGCTGTGTTTATGTCGCCTTTTATGAAATTTATGACCTTGGGCCACTTACCAACTCTTTTGTGTCCATTTCGCTGCTTCTAGAATGAGAACCAGTGCCTCCTCCACAGACGTGTGGGAGTTAGACAGACTAACTCAGCGCTTCCCTTAGGGGGTTCTTTGAGATGTTAAACACTTTGTTGCAAGTCTTCAGGCTTTGCGCTGAGGGAGCCGGACAGGAGTTAGCATCTTCCTTTTCAGGATGGAGACTCTGAGACAGATCCCAGGGCACAGCTCACACGCGCAGAGCGGGCGGGGCGGGGCTGTTAGACTGCAGCCCTCCCCCCAGGATGCGCTCGTTTGTGTCTAACGAGCAGTGCAGGCCCCCAGCTTGCACCTCAGCTCAGCGCCGGGCGGGCCTGGTGCTCTGCGCACCTGTCTCCTCGCTCTGCCGTTGTCCCCTCTGCGGCCTTGGCCGAGTGACCACTTCTCCGAGGCTCCGTTTCCTCTGCAGCCACGTCATCAGCACCCGCCCCGCAGCTTGGAGGGCGAGGGAAGGGCTCATGCTCGGCCCCTGACACAGACCTGTGGGATAGGGCTGTGCCCGCACCCAGCACCCCTCGTCTTGGCGAATAGCCTGCCTGCACTGAGTCTGTTCCCTCTCATCCGCAGCTCCAAGACAAGGCCACCGTGCTGACCACGGAGCGTAAGAAGGTGCGTGTTCTCCCGGGGCTGGGGCAGGTGGCCGGGCGGGCAGAGCCCCTGCAGGGGCGGCTGCATCCTGCACTCATGACCCTTCTCGGGCCCTTTCCTTCCTCAGAGAGGCAAGACAGTGCCTGAGGAGCTGGTGAAGCCGGAGGAGCTCAGCAAGTACCGGCAGGTGTCTTCCCACGTGGTGAGTGGCCGGGTGGGGCGGGCCAGCCTGGAGCCACCCGGCCACTGATGGGTGAGGGAAGTGCTGGTCCAGGCAGAGGCCAAGTGCAGAGGTGGGAACACAGGCCGCTGGCTGGGCGCGGGGGCCGGGGGGTGTGGG